TTTGTATTTAATTTCCATAAGAATCCGAGCAGCGTATATAATGTGGAGTGGAGAGAAATGTACTTAATAATTCAGCACGTTGAAAAACGTGAGAAATGAGGTCTGTACGTTTAAACATTTAAAAATATGCAACCTAGAAATATAAGTATCTTTTTCTACGTACATAAACAAAAAGAAATTTAAATTTGAATATTAAGGTATGGAGAGAAATAAAACTTATAAGAAAGAATTTTAAGTTATATCATTATTTATGATTCACTGTATTGACGCAACCAACTAGAAGACAGTAAACAGTCATAGAATATGATGCTGCTTTAATATTTACAAAGGTGGTTTTCCTTATAAAGTTTGAGCTCAGAGTAGTTTCAACAGAAATTTTATATTACTAGTTAAATAAATAAGTTATATTAAACATATTAGGAGGATTTGAGTTTATTTTATCAGTAATATAATATTCAATGTACACCGTTTTATTTAAAAAAAGTTATATTAATTAATGTCAGTGAGGAAGAACGTCTTGATGAGCATGAAATCTCATTTGAAACAATCCCATGAGAATGAAGTTGATTGGCTCTCTTTATTGGTATTACTTAATTTCTTATAGAATACATCATTTCTTGGCAAACTAATATTATGTTATTGGCTTAAAATAGATGACTATTTATTTTACACGAGCTAGTTTTGTGAGTGCGATTGTTCACAGACAATGCGTGAGTCAGGACCAACTCTTGCGTAAGGGAAGTCGCTATAAACAACAGACTACTATGTATTGTTTAGATCGTAAAGATAAACAAGTAACATTCCATTATGTGTATCCAACAATTTGTAAGGAAATATATTAAATATATAATTTGCTTGTTCACGTATTCATATTATCATCAAAACGCAAACGCGGTCTGTCTGGCAAAGTTTGATCTCTGTTATGTTTTGCTCTGCGGCTTCTGTTTCACTTTACTGTTTGCACTTGAATTAATATCGCTTGTTAGCAAACAGATAGTCGGGAAGTACAACAAATATTGTAACACGTTTACTTTGAGTCAGAATAGATTTTAATATTGTTAAAATGTTACATTTTCAAATAATAGCAATATAAAATCCATAAATTTAATTTGAATAAACAAATGAGCCGGTTCGGACCTTAGTAGTTAATGCACAATATATATATTACCTCTTTATGATGTATGTTACAGAAACGTTTCATAACAATAGATCAATTTAATTGAATGCACAGAGAGGAAACTCGTAAGTGAATGCAAAATATTCCATAATTGCATTGTTTGAACCATCACCTATAAAATATAAATGCACTCTTTCTTCAAGGCTCATATTGTTATACAGAAGTTTTATTGAAATACTGATCCAATGTTTCTTCTTGTCCGTCTTTTCGACTGTAATCCGTAGGGGATACGGTTGATATTTCAACGTCCAATTTATAACGATTCGCAGACCTGTTACTCATCGAAAATTGAACTTTAATCCACCACCTTAAAGTCTTAAAATAAATAGAGGAGCTTATTCGGGATCAAGACCGGGTATGGAATGATTTGCAACAAGATAAATAATCGCAGTCTGGATTTAAGCTGAGGGTCAGTAACCGTCTCCGACTCCTAACCGCTGTTTTGGTAAACTAATAAAAAACGTTTACGATTCATTCTAAGGAAATGACCACATTAACTAACTTTAAGTTTTTTATCTATTTTCACCGTGAATTATATAATTTCTTATAATAAAATATAATCATGAAAATGCTTATTATACTGTCTAATGTATTCATTTCATACGTTTTACGAGCGACATAAATTTAAGTGCGAACATTTTAAATCACTAATGTGACATAAAGTATCTTTCTAAAATATAGATAGTGTATTAAAAACTTCAAATTGATGCATTAAAGAGAAAAATTCAATGACTAATATTTTATTGAATTGTATATCACTATTTCAGAATTTTTCACATATATTTATAACATTGTACCACATAACGAAATGATTATAGTTACATAAAATTCTTGTGAATACAGAAATTTATAGAATCATAACTTTTATTATGAGTTTCTAGTAGATTTAATAATGAGGGAGTTTTATTAAATAGGGTATTACATGTGTTTATGTGTATAGATACAGACAAAAGGCATACATATTAATCAAAAACATTGTTGACTCGACGGATACGTCGACTGTTACGTGTATCAAATAATACTTTAATATGTAATATTATTGTCATGAAATTACATTCAACAACCTAGTTTATAACAAAACGAAGAAACCAAAGTTCAGTGAGGGTAAATCTTCAAATAAGATTCATTGAATCCACACGAGAAAGACATGAGAGATTACTTAAAATTCATGATATATTTTCGTATTTCGTGTTTCATATCATTTTTCGTAATTCTCCATTTGTATTTCGATACGCAAACTTCGTCGCCCGATAAATAACGAGATGCTGAGGACGTTAAAGGTCATACATAAATAGGCTGTTATATAATCTGTACCGTTGAGATTATAACTCGTCTACAGCCCTACTAACTACATCATTGACATTTGTATAAGTCTTATCATACTTAGAAATTTGACACGATCCTTTTGAAACATTGATAATTTGTATTACGGCTCAAATATATATTCTTCTTATACGTTATCCATTATAATTATAGCAATTACTTGTTTGTTAAGTTTGTTTCGACAAAATTTGATAAGTACAAAAATTATAACCACACCTCTTACAGTTTTAGATTCACGATAAAAAACCTCAATAACAACATTAAATGTATGAATGGTAACTCGTAAAAAACTAAAGAACGTCCCGAATAAAAGCAAGTTTACGTCCGAGTTCCTCACTCGGAACATTTTTTGTATAAAAAATATTTTTTAGGTTGCGATATGATTATTCTTTTAAGAATGTTTCTTCATACCAATCGCTATCACGCTCGTTTTTATAATCTTGTAGGCGATAACCCGCTCTTAAAATATCGCGCTTCCTACAATATTTATATTTTATACCAATTATTTAGACTATATATTATACATTTAGACATCATTATTTTTAAAGCATATTGTATAACGTTTATAATAAAAGTTATAAACTTATTTTCCTTTTTTACATTTTAATATACTAGTACATAACACAAAAAAATTGTGACTTTTCGTATTTCTTTTCCTCAGAACCTAATTTCCATAATATAACAGCTATCAACTACTCAACTTCACATGGAACAACATTAAATATAGCTTAATTTTGAACTCAGTTATATACAATATATAATTTTTATAACACAGAGCTAGAAAACTTGCAATTTATATTTTTCAGTCCAGCCCGGGGCAGACGAGAAAAAGGATAAGCAAGTCTGTTCGAGTTTCATGAATGAAATATACAAAACTCATTGTACTGATATATTAATATTTGATTTATTTAAAAAACTAGATGTTCACAAACAAATATTGAAGAATGACACTAAATGGTTTAAATGACACTAAATCCTGAACAAAGCTGTTTTCGAGCTCATTCTCCTCTTATAAATTATATTCAGAAACAAACAATTTGTGAGAATATAACATAAGCATAACAAACCGCTTTCAGCGCGGCGTGCATGCGTCACGCGCTCATAGCGAGGCAGCGTACGTACGTAGCACATACGAATTATGAGTTTTGGCAAACGGCGCGGCGATTTAACTAAAATCTATTAATCGATTTAAAAAAAATCGTAAATATTAAAATCATACTCAAATTATTCTAGAAAAAGTTAATAACACAATTTTCGAATGCAAAACAAAAATTCTAATGGTTTTATGTTGTAATAAAATGACAAATTTATTACTTAATCAGCAGTTACGTTTTATTAGTTCCTTTATAAATTTGAAACTAATGAGACGAAGTAATGGATTATGGAGCCATCTCTGTTCTATTTTTCTCTTTGCTGTTTTCCCTGGAAAGTACCGTTTGAAATTAAAACGATTCCACTATCGAAATCAAACATAAAATCAGTACAGCACGTATTATCTGTCCTCAAGAGAGAACAATGCCTGTATGCTTAATCCTCCTGTTTACAATTGTAAAACAATTCCACTAGAATATTCCACTAATGTTATCTACTATTATTCTCATGCAATAGATAAGCAAATAAACAATATTACATTTAAACTAATGGCCCGAAATAAACATTAGTTACAATAATAACACAAAATCTAAATCCGGTCATATCATAACAAGCTCACCAACAATCGACGAGGGCCCGTTTCTGAGACGCCAAACAATGTATTTTACTGACACAACCCATCATACAATGTAAACAAAACAGACCACTAATACATACTAATGTATTACATAGCCATTCTAACATGAATCATAATATATTTTACAGTTAACTTCCATCGTTTTCATCTTAATATATAATACAAACAGAAGTCCTTCGAATATTTCACTAATAAAATATTTTTACTATTCCAGGTATATACTAAGGGTAGCGAGCTCACCTGACGCTATCGAGAACGGTGTCACTGACAGGCTTAAAATGTGAGACAAAAATATATTACCGTAATAGAAGTCAAAAGAAACTTTATTAAACTCTTTTCATTTTTATAGTTAAATCATAGTATTTCTTTTTATTATTATGGCAGAAACAAAAAGTATCCCCTGAGATTTTGTTCGTTTTATGTAGATCGTTATAAATAAAATCTAATATAACTCAAATTACTTCGAATAATTTGATAATATTCAGTTAATATTTTAGTTTCTAAATATTCAGTTAATATTTAGAATATTTCAAAATGTCAAATTTAATGTTTATCGATTTTATATATATTTTTTTAATACTTTAATATGTTTTTTTTTCTAAAACTTCTTTTAAACAACAGAAAACTTTCTGTTGTTTCTGTTCGGAACTTATTCCGACCCTGGTCATGTGTATCGTATATGTAGTATTCAATTTTTTTATTGTTTCCAGGTGAAGGTCACCTTTGAAAATACACCATATCCATTACTATAGTACACAAACGACTATCAAAATGGAGCTGGAAGATGTGGAAATTTTCGGCAGCGGCAATTACTCGTACATTGACAACGGAACATTTAATGGGACTTACGAAAACTGCCCGAACATAAACCTGCCTATAGTGTCTGTAGTCACGCAGATTTTATATGCACTAGTGTGCGTTGTTGGACTCCTCGGAAACACTCTCGTTATCTATGTAGTCTTGCGCTACTCTAAAATGCAGACCGTTACAAACATGTACATAGTCAATCTAGCTATAGCAGATGAATGTTTCTTGATTGGAATACCGTTCCTGATTGTAACGATGTCTCTACGCTCTTGGCCATTCGGAAGTTTTATGTGTAAGGCTTATATGATCTCTACGGGAATAAATCAATTTACTAGTAGCATATTTCTTTGTATCATGAGTGCTGATAGATACATAGCGGTATGTCACCCAATAGCTGCGCCAAGATTACGTACACCGTTCGTATCTCGTGTCGTATCTGCAGCAGCCTGGACTGCTTCAGCTCTGGTCATGGCTCCAATATTCATGTACACGACTCTCATAAAAACTGAAAACAGCTTATCATGTAATATTGTTTGGCCAGAGAAGGAATTCAACAAAGGACAAACATCATTCACTTTATACTCTCTGGCACTAGGTTTCGCTGCACCGCTAACACTCATTTTTGTATTTTATTGCCTAGTCATTCGGAAACTAAAAACAGTTGGGCCAAAAAATAAATCAAAGGAAAAGAAACGCTCACACCGGAAAGTAACTAAGCTAGTCTTGACTGTCATTGCAGTGTACGTACTGTGCTGGCTTCCCTACTGGGCTTTTCAAGTTGCCCTGATTTATTCCCCACCAACGGAATGTGCAAGTCGTATAACAATTACAGTTTTTCTAGTTGCTGCATGTTTCAGCTATAGCAATTCGGCAATGAACCCAATTCTCTATGCTTTCTTATCAGACAATTTTAAGAAAAGCTTTCTGAAAGCGTGCACCTGTGCAGCGGGAAAAGATGTCAATGCTACCTTACACGTTGAAAATAGCATGATACCTAGAAAAAAAGGGGGAAGTGCTGCCCGAGCACAATCTAGAGCTCTAGCAGAAGCCAGGGGTCTGTCAGCTCACGTCGACGGTCCAGGAGGGTCTCGATCCGAAGCGTCTACTGCTATAACATCACGGTCTGTGGCCGCGAGTGAAGCATTGCACATGGATATTCGGCCTTCTACTCTCACACCACTGATAGCTCCTAATGGTCTCTCGCACACGCGTCTCTGAGTGAGGGTCTCGCGCCATCGCGAGCCTTCCACCACTTTCCTGGACGAGGATACTTTGATCGTTTCCATAGATTAAATCATTAAAGACTGTTTTTATAAGTGTCGTCTGACAGCTGAGAGACACGAGCTCTGTCCTCTCACCTGTCGGATCAGTGTTTAGTGTCTACTGTGTAATAACGATTATTGTTACGTGTGGTCCGGTGTATACGAGAACATGTTCCTGATGCGACGCACTTTGTAAATAGTTTCTATGTTTATTGTACAGTGCGATAAAGTGAACAATTTTTTTTTGGCCTAGGGTTGTAACGAAGAATTTACTAATATGTAAGTAGCGTATCGCAAGGCGAATAAGTTTTATGTAAATCATATTGTTTAGTGTAAAAATGTACATATCGTGTAAATATTTACAATAATAATGTCAAAGTTCAATAAAAATGGATATTGTAAGAAATAAACTTTATCATATAAGCTACCCAAGTTTTTTATTACATCGTAAGCAGTCTATGGAACTGAAGAGACGTTGGTTCTCATATAAAAGGTATCAATCAAGAAATTACATGTTACCGTCCGAGGGAGGTGGCAGGCGACGGAGAGTCGGCGGGGAGTAGAGGACTAATACTTTAATACATGTACGTAAAACTCAATAAAGTTAAAGAAAGCCCTAAAGCTATAGTATCACAATACCATCAGGACATTAGGGTCCTTTCCTATGAACGTGAGAGTCATAATATTGCAAAAAAAAATTGTGACATTGACAAATGACCTTTCACAATTCGGACTATGACTGTCATAAAATACTCTTTTCAAATGTAATGCCTTGCGGAATACTTTCATATGTTTTATAATGCAGTATTTTATGTTAATAAAATTTTTTAAAAATTATTGTCATTAATATCAAAGCCCGTTCGTAAATTCTACTTTTTATATATTTCTAACATATTCATATGTCACAAAATGTTTTTAGAATTTCATTTCTTACAATCTTACATATTTTCTACATTATCCTAAAGTATTTTTATTTTATGATACAGCAATAATAATAATTTTATTATAAAATTTTCCATTGCTTACTTTGCATATCTTGAAATCATTTCCAATTTTCTTTCTTCGATACGAGCATTGTTTAAGCTTCATTTTATTAGAAATTGTCCAGACAAAAGCAATCTTTGGAACGATAAATATAGAATAAGCTTAAAAAATATAATAATAGCATTAAAACAAACCCGTTCACAATCATCTTTATATGTCTTCGCGGTTTTGAAAGAAATTAGTTTTTTATTTTTCATACCGAGACGTAGAGGCTTCCGATTAAGAAATAAAAAATTGTACTTCTATAAAATGAGTAACTTATACTTCATGATTAAATAAAAAATAATTATTGTAACGAATTTTTTATCGATTGATTAATTTTATAATGATTGATTATATTTTCTGTCCATACAATTATTATTTTAATCCATTTCTGTCAACGCCTCTACTCGCTTACTAAGTTCGAGGTGAACTTAAAAGTTTCGGTACCAAAATTCCTCAAATTTTTACAAGTACCTCCTTATGTTTCCAACGGTTACGTTGGATTCTAAATGGACTTTCACTAAACTATAGAGGAGTTGTAAAGCAACATATTAGTATATTTTAACTCAAAAACGCTAAAGAGTTCAAAAGAGCAAAAATCTAAATTAAAACTAGAGTTATAGTAATACCTACATGTATTTATTCATAAAAAATATATGTTTTAAAATTATAGACACAAATTTCTTGAATAAGTAAAGGTATAAGTACATTTGAAACTAATATATAAAGGCTAAGCGTTAAGCGATCGTATTTTTATTGTTTCACTTTCTGTCTCGGCTTGTTTTGATATGATAGAAGAATTTTGTGTAATGCTATTGTATCTTTATAAAGGGTCCACCTACCAGTAGTTAGATCCTCTGAGACTATTTTTTTACTATAAATAGATTTTTTTCGAAATAAATGCTTAAATTGTATCTTTAATCTCTTTATATTGTCGCTGGGTATTAAAGGAGGCTGTTTGATAAAATGTTTTTTTTGTCACAATTCGTCTAATATATTTACTCTAAGACTTTTTTAAATTCAAAACGTTACATTATACAAATATATTGTCAAATATCTGAATGGACTTTGAATAATTTAAATACATTTTAACTAGTAATTCATTTGTCTTTTTTTCATCATTCTTGCTTGCTTGAAGCTTGAATTCTGTATATCAATATAAATACATGATTCTCCGATGAAAAAACGCCATTATCTTTATATATGGATGTGACTTCATGATAGAAAATAATTTCTTGGTTTCTTTGGATCTTACCAAAGTGTTATTTAATTTAGATTGACTGTTATTACCATGAAGGGAGTTTTATCTTTAATACTAAATAGAATATTATTATATACTAGAAGACCTGGCGAACTTCGTATCGTCCTATAATCAAGAAATATCTATTACGTTTTTTTATTTACATTTTTGGAGTTTACCTGTAAGCTATGTCTCCGTGTTTTGAAGTGCGACAGAATGATTGACATATTAATTAGTTGTCAAATCTAATGTCAAAAAAAATGTTTGTATGGGAAATAGAAAAGGGCTGTTTTTATGGTTTTCCCAGTAATGAATCAATTTTTTTCAGCTTTTATACCTTCCCTGAGCCTCCACGAACATTTCAAGAATAAGCTAAGATAAATCCGTTCAGCTGTTCTCGAGTTTTAGCAAGACTAAGGAACAGCAATCCATTTTTATATATATAGAAGATAATAGTAGTCATTGACGAATTTTCGTTCAATATGTACTGAAACTTGAAATTGGGTGATTATTCAATTACTTTAAAGAGAAAACATGTCTGGAACTTACCTGGAGATAAGTCGACGATAGACTCGCCCGGGCGTATTGAGTTCAGAGTTTCTATGATATACTCGTACGATTTACATATACATATTATTCACGTAGTTTGTCCTTTAGTTCAAAGGGCACTAATATAAATTAAAAATTACTTTAAGCATGAAATACATTCGATATAATTAAAAAAAATTGTCACTTCAGATTTAAGTTATAAAAAATATATACTAAAAGGAGATCTAAAATATATTATACATAATGGTTACCTAAATGTATTATATTAATAACATTTCATAAAGTGCCAACCGTAATAATAAATCCTGAACAATAAAAACAGCTTCTGTTTATAATGTAATAATGTAATTTTTAATGTCCTCTGAGTGTCAAGAGATAACAGCACCAAATGTAACATTTTATTCAAGTCCAGGACAATATAGCTTTTTATTTTCAGTTTTAACGTACAATAGTATTATATTGTCAAGTCGCTAAAAGATTTAAAACATTAGGTTTTATAAATATTACGAGGCCATGGCTCCGTTATATGCAGTAAATATAATTTCATTATAATTCTTTAGTAGTTTTTTACTGAAGACGTAACAATTGGATAAATTCTTAGACTGGATGTATTTGATGTTGATAAGTAATATTTATTGTATTCTATAATGTCCATATATATAAAAGCCTCCTCCATTGTGGCCCATAATTTTCTATTTGTGTGGATGTGCCTCTTGCTCGTTCTTACGACTGCGACTATCTTTCAATACCATCTTTCTTTGTCTCGACATTCAATATCTATTAGCTTTATTAAAATCATTAAAATAATATTATATTGGTTTTGTTGTTAATATTGGAATGTTTATCATAATATTTCGATGTAATCTACCAAAAGTTTAATCTAAATTGTTCATTCCGTAATCTATATGTTAATTTTTATATTTGAACAAATGATTGAAATGTCATGTTTTTGTAGAGGCGACATTTATCGGTGGCTACATTTTAACACTTAATGCTTATGTGAATTTTTAATTTTTTAATTTATATGGTAATACAATTTAACGACAAAAGACATTAAACTTACTTTCAATCCTGTATTCGGGATACAAATATTGTTTGGTCAGTTTTCAATAATGAAGATATTTTTGTGCATTTTATGTCAATAATTAATAGGTGGTTATGGATTTTAGTTTCAAGCTTATCAATTTTCCCAAAGTACAACTCGTACATTTATCGTACTATATGGTCCCAAGAGAAAATGAATTAGATTCTTCTCATTAATAATATTAGTATATGCATACTGGATAGTTCACAACAATTACAAAGGCTGCTATAGATAACTCGGAAGAACTTTTATGCTCTGTATTTTAAATGTATTGTTCGGTCTAAACAGTTTTTTCTTGTTCGAGTCATGGGAAGTCTTTTAAGTTTGTTAGCATATTTCCATTGTAAGAGTTAATTGTTCGTCATAAAAATTGTTTCGGAACGGGAATTATGGTAGTTATTTATTTCTTTCATACACACAAACCGTGTATTTGTTAATATTTCACTTTTTTTGTCAGGGTTTTTTTTATTTTAAAATATATTTGAAGTTTCTATGAATTTTCATATTTATTCAACTCTATTTTGCTTACGTCGTGCTTGAGAAAATTAAAACAAATAGTTACGAGTAACATCAATAAATAAATGTAGAATAATCTTAGTTGAAGACTTAAATCTTTTTAAATTGTTTATCCTTAATATATCTGAAAAACCAAGAAACCTTACTTGTTTATATTTTATAACATTTTTGAATTTACCTAGGACACACCTCTGTTTGTCACGTGGCGTTGTTTACCTAAAGACTTCAAATTATTAACGGAGTACTTTCAAACATGTCATTATTATTTTTATAATCTAGTGGTCACGAAGAGCCGTTTCATTCAATATTTTAATGCTGACTACCAAATTGTGATAGAATGTTATCCTATCTTATAGTAAAGAAAAATTTTGCCTCCGATATTCACTACTAAAATCTATTCACTTTTCCTGGAGCCATCCAATTCGTATGTCCCAGTAAAAAAAAAGACAGAAAAACTGTTCAATCTTTTTAATTTGAGTATGAGGAACGAACAGCCTATTGTTTTGTCTCTAGATGTGGGGAACAAGTGCAATACCACCCT